GGAAAGCAGAGCTTCTGAGCACCTTTGTCGGGATCCCCCTAAAGGCGGCGCTGGGAAGATATCTCGGAATCCAAGCTATCCACGAGAGAGTCACTAAAGGGCGGTACCAATCTCTGCTTCTGTGCATCCAAAAGAAGATGGCTCTTTGGAAGGCTAAACGACTCTCCTTCGCAGCCCGCCTTACTGTTGCTAAATCGGTAACGACGTCTTTACCTGTTTACAATATGCATACAGAACTGATCCCAAGTGGTGTGTGCAGGAGTATCGATAAGATTAGCCGGGAGTTTATTTGGGGCGACGAAGAGCACAAAGCCTAGATGCATCTTGTAGCCTGGAAAACGCTTTGCATGCCTAAGGCGCAGGGCGGGGCAGGTCTTAGGCCCACTCGGCAAGCAAACATCGCCATGCTTGCCAAAGGCTGCTGGCGTTTGCTGCAGGAAAAGGAGAACCTTTGGTCCCAGCTCCTTTACTCTAAGTACGGAGGGCAGCGTCAAGGCTTAGATATTCTTCGCAAACGATAGAGAAGTTCCTTCACCTGGAGCAGTCTTTCCAAAGCTGCTGATCTCTTTAAAAGAGGTTGCGCGTGGAATATTAAGAATGGGAGACGGACTAAATTTTTGTTGGATCTGTGGATTTTGCAGGGCCCGCTGAAGGAGGAAGCCATTGGCGATATCCCGGAGGCTTTGGAAGAGGCGACAGTTGGTGACTTCGGTCGAGAAGATGGCAGTTGGAATTCGGATATCTTCCTTGACCTGCTGCCCCCGGAAATTTGCAGCAAGATCTTGAGCACCGCGGTGGACAAACTCTCACAGGAGGATGACGTTCTCTTCTGGGCAGAGTCAGCGGATGGCTGGTTCTCTACTAAGTCGGCTTATGCTCTGCTGGCTAGGGAAGGTCTTCAGGCTGATGACTCCATTTGGAAGTCTATATGGCGCTTAGCGGTTCCCGAGCTAGTTAGAAGCTTTGTTTGGATGACGATGTATGACAGGATTGCTACCAATGCCTTGAGATATCACAGGAAAGCTTCTGCGTCCCCATGTTGCCTTCGATGCGATGGACAGCCCGAGACGATCATCCACATTCTGAGGGACTGTGCACCGTAGCTACTTTTGGTCTCGAGTGGTGCCGCAGCAGAAACAGTATGACTTCTTTGCCTCATCCCAAGATGTTTGGCTACGCAGTAATATCTTGAGCAAGGACTCCACGGCCTCGGGTATTGGCTGGCCGGCTTTCTTTAGTATGGCTATCTGGCTGCTGTGTAAGAATCGGGCGTTGGCTTCCTTCAAAGGAATTGGTGCAGCCATGACCGCCCCCCTCCCTCATGCACTTTATCATAGTTAAGAGTAAGCTTTGGAATGATTCTTGGCATGCTCCGTCTTTGTTACTTGATCACAGGAGGACGAAAGCAACTCGTGTTGTCGCCAATGTGGGATGGGAACCTCCTTCAGAGGGATGGGTCATGCTGAACGTGGACGGGGCCTCTAATGGCAATCCCGGATTGGCTGGCGCAGGCGGAGTGGTGCGGGACACCCAGGGGAATTGGGCAGGTGGTTTTGTTTCCAATATCGGATCAGCAACCGCGTGCCTTGCGGAGCTGTGGGCAATTTATTATGGGCTTGAGATGACTTGGAGGCTTGGGTTCCGTGTTGTGAGAGTGGCCTCGGACTCCCAACTAGCTGTGCAGCTGATTAAGAACCGTCAAGATCCCATTCACCCCTATGCTACTCTATTGGGCCTTATTCGTCGTAAGTTAAGCCAGGATTGGTTGGTCAGCCTTTCTCATACATACCGAGAAGGGAATAGAGTCGCGGACTGGCTCTCGAAGTACAGTCTCATCTATCCCTAATATGCAAATATTATATATCTTCCTGTAAGGGTGACTACGAGCGAAAATCAGAATAGTGTTGGACCCTCTTCATTGGAATTGCATGGTCGCCAAATTCGTCAACCAACGGGACAATGTACTTTCATCGTTGTTTTTTTTTTCATTCTTGCTCTAAATGTTCAACGTGGACACAAAATATAACTTCTCTTCCGATCTCGTGTTCTTCTCCAGGGTTGATGCGAGTCATATTCAAGCCGCCAAAATTATATGTTTTTTTTATAAGAGTGGCTTAGTACTGATATGGCTTAACTTATATGTACTTTTTATAAGAGTGGCTTAAATTATATAATTATGAGTTGCTCCCCAAATTCTGAAATTGTAATTGAAAACGGTGAGAAACTAATGGAATAATAATTGCATCATTATGAATTTCCTTTGATAAATATGAAATTGTCCATTGCTAAATTCGTTCACGGATTAATTATTGTCACTTTTACTTATATGTATTCTGTATTTGTAGTATTTAATACTTTTATTTATGATGATTTTTTTTAATATGTTCTTGCTTACTACAGGGCAATCAAATATTTATTCAAGTATATTAATAAACCACAAGATCGAGCAATTTAGATCATGATTGATCATGTCTTGGCGCAATGCGTTTATATTGGACTTTTTTATTTGTATATTCCCCTAAGAAAAATGGTTATCATTCCAACAATGCATCCCTTTATTTTAGCTCATCACTTGCGACTTTCTCATCCAATGTTGTACATATGAAATATGATGTCCATGTCAGATTTAGTTGGTGAAGTTGACCATACGCAACCAACCGTCGAACTATTTGAAGGACCACTCCGTGAAAACACAAAAATTGTGTACCTAAAACTGCTAGAGTGAGTCCTCTAACTTTTATCGTAATTTGATGTTCACTTGCATGTGAACATGCTCTAGCAAAATTACTTTACTTCCTCATACCTTTTATTGGAGCTGTCATCCGAGTGGTACTGAATGGATCCTTAATTCCTGCATTTGAAGCATTCATGCCTTATCAACCGCAATCAACGGCGGTATGTGTACTTACTTCAGTATATGTGGAGAAAACCAGAGGTATTCTTGCTAAACGGGTTCATTTGGTGTTGCACAATCTTAGTTATGTTTCTCCCTTATAAGAACAACATCTTTTCTTCACTAAGCTACCTCTACAGTTTTAGGCAAGTATTACTTCGCGTCATCCTCAGTATCCAAGTTAAATTTCAACTTGAATCAACCTTTCTTGCACCCACTGCTAAACCCGTGAGTAAATTTACTTATGCAAAGAAGTTGTATACCTCCACATATACTAAAAAAACTTACTTCGCGATATTTAATTTCTTATGCCAGACTAAGAAAAGTCAAATACATCATTAAAGATGACTCCTATGAAGTTGAAAAAGACCGCACAAAAATGTAATTAATTGCAGACCTAACAGCATTGCGATTTTGTGGTCAATACATGGTAAGAAGTTTTCCAAAAATCCATTTTTTCAGCACCCTCTCTTCAATGCTTCCTACTAAGCATACATTGTTCATTATTTCAACTTATTTTATTCAAAATCTAACTTTTGTAGGGAAACTACTACATTGTTACTAGCCATATCCGCGACATAAGAATCATTTGGGAATTCAACTACACCTAATACATTGTTCAACTCACAATTAGTGGCAATTTTTCTTCATGTTCGGTATATTTCAAATCATACAAATTCAGATCGATTGCACACGCTGTGATCAACAAAGATGATGTCTACTAGGATAAACACTATAGAGAGCTACTAAATTCTCTCATAGACCAATCTTTTTCTTTCCTCATGAGGGTTCATTATATATGTTTTAGGGGAAGAACTCTAAACTTGAACTATATGGCCTTCTTAAGTAGTAAAACCCAATCATGTATGGTTTTTTTCTTCTTTGAAAAATTATATTTCTTTTGCGAAAACGTATTTCTTATCTTATTATTATATTTTCAGTATATTATATGTACAAATTTTTTAAATTAACTTTTGCGGCCAACGGGGCGGGCCCAGTGTTAGTGTAGAAAAAAAGAGAAGGAAGGAGATCTAGAGAAATTAGTGCACGCAAGAGGAAAAAGAAGAAGCTGACACTGAAAACATGGTCTCTGGCTTTGTTTGATGAATAAGCAGTTCAATGTTGTTAATCTCCATTTTTTGTGGTTCATTTATGTCGGAGAATTTCAGCGGTGGATCCAGAACACAGAAGAGCACTGGGGCGCATTTTATTAGAAAATTAGAACCGTAAATAAAACATAATGATTATAGTTTTTTTGCAATTTAAATTGTACCCGACGATATTTTAATTTAGAGAATGCATCAATAATGGAGTCTACAGAGCAATCGACGAGAAATCCATCGCTCATTTTGTTGAGCAAATCAGTTCTCGCATATTTCATTGTTGAAAAGGTTCTCTTCGTAGTAGCTATTGAAACGAGCAGCATCAACACTAGAAAAATCAATCGACTAATTAATTTGCATTGTGTGTCCATCCCTGCATCCACCAGCTCCTCTAGTAAATTTCCAAGGGAACAAACCTCATATTTCTCTTAGTCTTTTTCGTTTTAAACTTTTAGAATTTTAGGTTTCATTGTTTTTTGTAGATTCATAATCTTTGGGACTGAAATTTCTAAGCTAAATTTAGAGTAGTGATTTGAATATGTTCATTGAATCATTTTTCTAGTTATACCCAATCTTATTATAAAATAACACTGGGCCGAATGCCTAAAATCAAAAAATTCATAAAGACTATACTAACTACGGATCAGAGGAGGGCCGGGATAAAATCAAGAACGAAGGCAGAACTAGGATAAAAAATGTTGTCTTGATCACATCTCTCTTAGTCGAGAACCCGTCGCTATAAGATCAAAGGAGGTGTTTGGGTAAATAGAGCAAAGTATGTTGCTAAGAAAATGAAAGTATATCAGTCATTTTGTTCTTCAGTTATGAAATAACTCATATCAAATACTTATCTAATCAAACAAGGAGGCATTTTAGTGTGTTTTATAGTATTGGTGCTATAAAACATTTACAGGCATTAGATCATGTTCAAACTATATCAGCCATTAGATTTTATTTAAATTATTACTATATTATTTTATTTGTGTGTGGACAACAGGTACAACCGGTTGTCTGAAATTTTTTTAGGAATTCTCTTATCACCAAGCAGATATGAACCTTCTTCTCACCTCTTCTCACCGCCGACATCCATTCTTCCTTCGATCCTCTCCACGCAGCTAGCGAGCCAGATTCTGACAACGACAGTGAAGGCGGCGAGCAGTGGGTGACGACGAGAAGAAGAAGCTTGTCGATTGCAGCATCTCTTTGACTTCGGCGAGCCGGATTTCGACGACGACAATGAAGGCGACAAGCAGGGGACGACGAGAGCAAGCATCTCTTCGTCGATTGCAAACGAAGACCCTCTTCCCATCGATAGCAAACGAAGACCCTGCACAGAACCCCCTCTTCCCATCGATAGCAAACGAAGACCGCTGACCTACCTCCTGCACCGCAACTTTTTCCGGTTAGTATGCCTATCAGTTCTACAGTTTTATTCAATTTTCCGGTTAGTATGGCTATCAGTTTAGGGATTATGTTGGGATGTTCTAGATTTACAAATTTCGGTAGGGGGATTGAAATTCCATGCTCGTTTTAGGTTTATGAGTTTAATTGGTCATGTCCTTTTACCAGGTTGATGTCCTTGTACTATCTTCTTTGTGTTTAGCTTGATAATTAGCTATATATTGACTGATTTAGTGTCAAAGCAAACTATCAATTCACATATGGGACCTGCTTGTTGATGTCCTTGTATTGGTTTAATTGTGGACCTCCTAGATGTAGGTCGATGTTGATCGGGATCCTTCTGAAAGCCATTGTAGTTCATCTTGTAGACCATCTTATTGTTTACAGAATTAGGGGTGAGTTGGTTGATTATAAACTTGTCATGATAAGTAGCATGTTCTACTTCTGCTGGTCTATTTTCCTTGGTGTGGCTGTGTCTCCAGTGGGAAGGAACATGTTGTCAATTCCAAAAAGCTTCTTTTCGTATGGGCAGAGAGGTCTTTGTCAAAGCAACGTGGTGTAATGTGGTTGTTGGTTGCTCCTCCATTAACCATACAGCCATAGATTTCCTGCTACTAACGTTCATTGTGAGTCGATTTACACATTGAAGCTTGAAGGGAGAGTTGTGCATGGTTGTGGTTGCCTTGTTGGGTAGTGAACAATCTAATCATGTACCAAAGAGGAAAATGCTTGTCACCCAGAAAACTCACACTTGGTGAAAGAGCCTAGGAAATAGCATGCATGAACCAAGCAAAGATCATGTGTTCTTTATGTGGTTTTCCACCATAGTTACATGCTATCTCATGAAAATGATATCATAAATTAGTTTTGGAAACTTTTTTTTTTACTTTTTCATAAATGGAAACTCTATTTCACTTGGAAAACCGGTGTGAGTTGCACGTGTCGAGAGAGCTATTGCCTTTTTGAGTTACATAATCGTCATTCCAAGCATGCGATTCATCTTGTCTTTGTGAGTCCTGGGAGAGGAGTCCTAATCATGTTCCCATTGTGGTTAAGCTAGCAACTACTTGTAGTATGCTTGTTGTGTGGATGTATTCTAGAAAAGGGTACTCGAAGCATTTGTCTTCTGTGATTCTTTGCATGAGCTTTTGTGTTGATGTGAACTAAAGCATTAGTCTTATGTGATTCTTTGCATTCATTTGAGCTTTTTATTTCGCTTGAATGCTGGCTCCGTCTACGTTTATGTGATTAGTACTTCAGTTTACTATTAGAGCAAGATTATGATGCAGTTGATAGGTTATGTCGTGATTCATCAAGTGAACCTTGGACTTCATCTCCTCATGCTTAATCATTAGTTCCTTCTTTTATGCATTCCAGTATTATTTTTCTGATTAGAGATTCATCAAGTGATAGGTTTTGGCGTGATTCATCAAGTGAACCTTGGAATTAATCTCAACCATGCGTGATCTCAAAAAAAGTTGCTCCAATCTGACCTAGCTAGCGATTGTGTTCCTTCCTTTATGCATGCCAATATTAACTTTTTGATTGGAGAGACTTAATTTGTGTTTTATGGAGGCAAATCGAATAGGAAAGTTCATACTCAAAGTTTGATTCTTTTCAGTTTGGCTTGAGACAAGTTGGATTGTTGTTTGCCTTCAAACTGAGTCTGCAGAGAAAAGTTTGGAAGAGTTGATTTGGTCTTGTTGGTATTGTAGTGTCGTTACCGTTGCTTGTTGATTACATTTTGGACTGTTAATTGAAGGGTCTTGCTTGGCTGCATGAAAGGGGCAATTGAGTGTGTTAGTCAAGAAATTGTTCATGAAATCAGGGCGACTTCAGTTTTAGCCAGTTTGGATGGAAATAGAGCGAGTGTTTATGGTGGTGTCATGGGTTATGGAAAGCTTAGTGGCTATGCTCGTGGTCATGTTATTTAGCTCTCAAAAGTTGTAAGTTGTGTGTGGTTTCTGATTTTTGTCCAAAAGAACAGGGGCGGTGTTAGATGTAGAAGGGAGCCTTAGAACAAAATAGAAGAATAGAACAGGGGCATGGTATCTGATTTTCCAGGTTAAACCTTTTTGTTTGTTTATTACAATCTCTGGAATCTGTTTTTTGAACTAGCCTTGGATTTAGATATGATATGAATCTGGTAGCTAAAATGACTAATGAGAACAACCATAAGCTAAAGCCATAATTGCAAACAAATATTAGTTCTGAATACATCAACAAGCATCACAGCTTTTATTTTGAAACTCAGATTTGAGCATATGCAGCTCTTCTTCTTAGAAATACCCAACTATATTTGTTTGTACTGGTTTTATAGAAACAAGTTGGTCACTATAGTTGAAAATAGATGATTATACGATTTGATCGGGGACAAACCTTGTCCTTTTGCTTGGTAAGACCGCATGTGAATAGATGATTAAACCTTTTCTTCTGTTTTGCTTATCTCATGAAAAGATGTTACGGCTGTGAAATTTCCAGAATTAGCCGTGAGAATGTTTAGTGGAATCTGGGTGTTTTTGGTTTCACGGCTTATTTTAACGGCCGTGATTTATGAAGCGAAAGCCGTGAGATTGCCTGGGGATATGAAAACTACTCTTTGCTTCTCACCGGTCATGTCACGGCCGTGAGAATTTGCATTTTGGGTGAAATTTAATGAAAGCTGGGTGCTTTGGATGAAATTTATATATGCCAATGGCGGATTTCATGGTTAATTAGTGTACTCAGGTGTTGATGTAGGGGGTTTTCAGTTCTTCTGGTAGTTAGAACTTGATATCGAGGCAAGTGTGCTTGTGAGCTCTGGCATAGTCCTACATTTGTTCAATATTGATAAAAGCCATATATTGAAAACCAGGATTGAACTCATTACCTAGAGAATGTGTTTACCGAATGATTAAATGATCCTTTTCTCGAATGAAACTTTGTCATAACCACGTTTTCTCGAATGTGTTTAAGTGTGAAAGTTGCTTCTTTAGATCAGTGGTGGACGACTCTGGCTTTGTGTATTTTGTTTGTACTCTTCGGCATGCTTATAATTCGTGTTTCAAGGCATGCTTATAATTTTTTTGTTGTTTTAATTATGCAGTTTGCTAAAATTGTTCTATAATGAAGACGAAGAGGCATGAACATTTTAGCACGCGATGTTCTCCTATGAAAGTATTCTCACTAGTCTCAAATTTAGAGGCTTGTCAATTAGAGGCCATTAAGAGATGTGGCTTTGGTCGGATTCTTGAAGTCAAAGGAAGAATGCTACAACGTGAGTTGTTGGAGAAACTTTTGAAGAGCTTTAATCTGGAAGAAAGCACAATTCAGGTGTATGGGTTGAAAGTGCATATTTTGGCTAAAGATTTCGAGCGAATTATAGGCGTGCCTGAGGGAGGTACTGATATCATCTTGAATGGTGAAGAAGTGGGAGGAAGATCCGAGGAACTGAAACCATTTAGAGTGTATTCGACACCTGATTGTGCCCGACAGGAGATTTCCACAAGCTTAATGCAGAAGGCGCTGTCGAAGATAAAAGATAGCGACGATCTATTTCTTCAAACGTTTATTTTGTACGTAATGGGGGTGCTATTAGTACCAACTAGAAGAGATGACATTTATTTATCTTCGGTATACGCTGTCACCGATGTTGCGGACATTCCGAAGAAGAATTGGGCATCCTATTGCTTCAATGAATTGGTCAAATGCATCTGCGACCATAATGCTGATGGGAGAAAGTATATACCGGGTTGCTTGCTGTTTTTGGAGGTAAATAATTGCTAATCCCTACTTTCTACATATTCGTAATGATTAATCATCATGTTGATTATAGTTTTTTTTTGTAGTTAATATTCTTGGAGCATGCAAATGGTATTTTCCAAACCATTGATGGGAGTTTGGATTTGATGAGTTGGGGGAGCGGAGACGTAGAGTTATTGTTAACAAAAGTGGTAAGACTGATAGTATATTTGATTCTTTTGACGAGTTGGAGCATGCTAATGGTACATTTGGTTCCCTTTTTAATTAATTTATAGGTTTCCAGCAGTTCGGGGAAAAGATCATCTGAGGATGCAGGTTTGAAATCACCTCCAAGGAAACAGGAAAAAAGAGACGGGAAACGGCACAAAACCGACGTGGATGAGCTGCTTCTCTGTGAGCGTATTGATGCTCGGTTTAGTACCATGGAGGGTAGATTTGACAACTTTAGTCAAGAATTTAGAGTCGCAATGGGTGATGCTGCTTCTAGAGATGAGGAGCTAATGAGTCGGGTTGTGAAAATGGAGAACGAATTTCGGGCTTTTAGAGACGAAATTGGTACTGCGGTGAAGTCCATTCTAGAGGCAGTGAAAACAACTATAGGTGATCCGTTGTCAAGGGAGCATCCTACTGAGTTGAAAAAGAACGATCAGAAGGATGCGGCTGGTAATGTGAAAGCTTCTACAGCTGTTTTGTTGTCAACGGAGCAGCTTATCATAGGGGAAAAGGGAAATCAGAAGGGTGAGGTTGAAAAACCAAGTGAACCCATTTCTCCCACCTCCGAATGTGCCAAGACTCAAGGGTTAGGTGTTAAGAATTGGGGAGAAGCTGAGGGGGAAATTGGAGATTTGGTCGAGCTTGGTCTTGTATAACAGTGACATATTGGTTAGTCTTGATGGCGGGGTTCTTGCCTTATTCTAATGTTGTGGTGTTTGAACTTGGTTTTGTATAACAGTGACATATTGGTTAGTATTGATGGCGGGGTTCTTGCCTTGCTCCGTGAAGATTTGGTCGAGCTTTTGCCCAGGACCAGAATTTCAACAAGGGTGAGTTCCTTTATGTGTGTAATTTAGTACATTGAACTTGTATTGCTGACTTCGGTATATGTGATGATGATGCATTAGATTATAGAAATGGCGTGTATGTGCAAGACACTAGAAGAACGAAGTTGTGGTCGCAGTGGTGGCTTGTCTTGGTTCTTTCCACCTTCAGTTTCGGTATAGTTGTCTGCTTTGTCTATTCTTGTCATGAAATTAATCTATTTGTTTGTTACATGTAGCTTGTGTGGGTAACTGTATTTTATTTTTCTAGGATCGTGCGTATCATTGC